TATTCATTGCGTATGTATGTGTGATTTTGTTTAACTTTTTATTTTGAAGTAATTTTGATTTGTAGAAGATTGCAAAAATAGTACAGAGAGTTTCCATATGCCCAGCTTTCCCTAATGTTAATACCCTACATAACTATGGTACAACTATAAAAACGAAGAAATTAAAATTGATACAATACTATTAACTAACCTACAGACTTTGATTGTATCAATTTTGCTACTAACATCTTTTTCTTCAGTCCAGGATTCAGTCTGGAATCACACATTGCATTTAGAGCTCATACTGTTTTAGCCTTCTTTGGGCTGTGACAATTCCTTAATCTTTGCCTTTCATGACCCAAGGCTTTTCAAGAGTACTTTTCAGTTATTTTGTAGAATATCCCTCAATTTGGGTTTGTCTGATATTTACTCATAATTATATTGAGATTATTCATTTTTGGCAAGAATACCACAGAAGTGATGTGCCCTTCTCAGTGTGTATCATGGTAGAGTGTATATGCTGTCAATATGTCTTCTTACAGGTGATGTTAACCTTGATCACTTGGCTAAGGTGGTGTTTGCCAGGTTCCTCCACTGTAAAATTATTATTTTTCCCTTTGCAATTAATACATATCTTGGAGTAAATACTTCCCTTATTCCTTCTATATTTATTAATTGGAATTTCTTTGTGAGGGAAGGGCTCTTCCTTCTCTTCCCATTTATTTATCTGTTTAGTTACTTATTAATATCAGTATGGGATCATTCACCTTTATTTTGTGGGTTATACTCAAATACTATAGTTATTTATTTTGTTTCTAAACTGTTCCAGTTTTGGCTGTTAGGAGCTTTCAGGTGGCACTTGTGCCCTATCTTTCTTGAGCTCTTCCTTACTTTCTGGCACCACAAAATGTTCTAAGCTTGCCTTAGATTTTCCCTGCCCCAACCAATTCTGGAATCAACCAATTCTCTAAGATGCCTTGGTTTCTTTTATTGGGAAATGGTATTTAGAAACCAAGATGTGAGAATTGGGTGTGCTCATTGCTACTGGGGTACCTTGCTTCTGAGCATTGATTGTTTTTTGTCATTTATACATTTCTATTGGATCATGACATTCAGAATACCCATTCATTTTTTTAAATAAATGCATTTAAGACTGTAAGTTTTTTTCTGAGTATTTTGGTATATCATGTTTCCCTTATTTATTTCTAAATAGTTTATAGTTTTTATTTTTATTTCCTCTTTGGTCCAACGTTTGTTAGATGTATGTTTAAGTTTCCATGTATGTAGATTTTTTAATTGGCTTTTTGTTGTAAATGTTTCATGTAATTTTACTGTAAGCAATGAATGTGTGTATATGATTTTTTTTCTTTTTAAGAACATATTAAAATTTTAATTGTGGCTGGTTACATGGTCAGTTTTTGTGATTATACCATGTGTTTGAAAGAATGATTATTAGATATAACCTCTAATTATATCCATACATCAAGTTTGTTAATTATGTTATTCAAGTCCTCAGTATCTTTACTATTTTTCATATCATTGTAACCATTCCATTTCTGTGAGAAATGTGTTAATAGCTCCCATTATGATGAATAATTTGTTCTCATTGGATTTTTAACAGATATTTCTTTATGTTTTAAAGCCATGTTTTGGGTATGTAAAAGTTCATGATTATTATTTTTCTTGGTCGATTGGGATTTTTATTAAAACTAAAGGGTTCTATTTATTGTATAGCTAGTTGTTAATATTAATGTATATCTTTTATCATTTTTAAAACATCGGTCGTATATATTTTTCTAACCTTTTATTTTCTACATTTCTGTTAATTTTTTTTTTTTTTTAGATGTGACTCCTGAAAACAACATTTGGCTGATTTTTTTTCTCTTAGTATGCCAAAAGAAATACTTGTTGTGGGTACAAAGTGAAACTGAAAATAGAATTTATTAAAAATATTTTAGAAAAAAAAAATAGAAAAAATAAATAAATAAATAAAAATATTTTAGAAGTGCATTTAGGCTTTCAGAACCTCTCTCCCACTCTTTCTCCCCAAAGACTTTTAATTACCTTGTCCTAACTCTGGCAGATGACATAGGTACTATCAAAATAGCTAATTCTCCACATGATCTCCCCACAGTTGAAGCCCATCATTTAATAATTCCAACACACACCACAGAAGCTTAAGGCATTTCAGTGTCTCATTTGTTAGATTTTTAAAAGAGAAAATACCATAATAAATATCCATTATTACAGATTCAAAAATTACCATGATTTTTGTCATATGTGTTTCATCTGTCCCTTTGTTTTTGTTGTTTGCTGAAGTAATTTAAGGAAAACCCAAGACTGCATGCTATTTTCATCCCTATTTACTTCAGTGTGATGTGCCATTTTGTTATATAACAACAGTATCATTATCCCCAAATTAGCAATAGTTCCTCTGTATTTTCTAATTCCCAGTTCATAATCAAATTTCCTTAGTATTTAAACAAATTTAGTTCATTTGTTTGAATCTGGTTCTATACAAGGTCCACATGTCACTTTTGTTGCTGCTTTTTTATCTAGAAAAGCCACCCTCCCCCCTTTCTCCCTTCATCATTATTAATTTGTAGAAATTGGACCAATAGTCTTCATTGTAAATATGAATAGATAGCAAAGGATCTCCAGACTGTAAGGGAGGCTTCAAATGTGAAAGACAAAGAACAAAGCAAAGAAAAAATTTAAAAACCTAGAGGAAACAGAAGCAATGCAATAAGCTGAAAAAACTTTAAAACACAGCGTAATTGATATCAAAATTATCATCAAAAGAATAAGAGAAGAAATTGTATCCATGAAATAAGAACAAGGGGTAATAAAAAAGGGACCTTTTGAGGAATAAGAAAGAATTCCTGATAATTAAAATATGATAGCAGAAATTAAAAATTTTATGGGCAGAATGGAAGATAATGAAATTAAAACAAAATGTCCAAAGTAGTAAGATGGCAAAAAAATTTAAGAAAATTAGATGTCTCCAGATGGTTCCACATCCAAATCGAAAGATGTTCCAGAAAGGAAACAGAAAATGGTGGGGAAGGAATCATTCTCCTTAGGGTAAAGTTCTTGGAACTAAACATCAGTTTCCAAAACAAATACTCATGAAGTGCCCAGCACAGAGAATGACAAAAGACTGACATGATAATATATTGTGATGAAATTTAAGAATACTAAGTAAAAAGAGAAAAATTTTAAAGCTTCTGAACCAGGGCAGGGGCAGAGTGGGGAGAACCTACCATGTATCATACAAAGAAGAAGTAGGAATTAGAATGGCATCGGACTTTGCAAAAAAGCACCGGAAGTTAGGAAACAGAGGACGGTACCCTAATTTTCGCATGAAGAATATTTTTCTCATGGATGATTCTATATTCAGCTAAACTGTCCAGTCTGATATATAGTAAAGATATTTTCAGATATTCACATTCTCAAATTTACCTCTCATGCACAGAATGCTCCTGGAGGATTTATTCCACCAAAAGGAGTACATCATAGAGGAGGAAGACTTTAGAACCAAGATACAGAGGATTTGACATGAAAGAGAGCTGAGGACAGTTCCTGAAATGACAAGAAAGGAAAGTCCCAGGATGACAGTTGTATAGTCAATTGAGAGAATACCCACACTGGAGCAAGAGAATAGAGAGCTCTGGGAAGGATATTTCCTAGAAAAGATATGATATTGAAGAGTTTTCTGCTGTGTCTGAAGGTGTTGAGAAAGAAGAATTACACCTCTGTCGGATTTGGAAGATATATCAGTGATAGGTACACAGAAAACTAAGAAGAAAAGGGGATGGTTTTTTAATCCAGGGACAGCAAAAAGTTGTACAAGAAATGTGATCATATCATAACATGTGGCTTACTAGTGAAGAATAATGTAAATACTAAATTAAAAGGTTTATTTAAATAAAGGGAGGGTGAGATGAGAAAGGCGTGTGTTTGTATGTGTGTATAAGAGTTTAGGTATGTGTAGGAGGGTCAGTTCTTATTAGGATTGTGATATAAGCTGCTAGCTACCTACCCTAACATCATTGTTCCTTCTTCCTTAGTAATAGAACTGTGGATATATCTGCTTTACTTGAAATAGGTATGGCCATGTGTCTAATGTCTAAGTTCAGCAGAAGTAATTGGTGGTACTTCCAAGAAGTCTCCTTAAAACAGAGTGAGCCATTATTCTCCTCTTGCTGCTGGTCTGGAATGGGAAAGGAGTTGTTGGGGTTTCTGCCACTCTCATGGTCAGTGAAAATAAAGAACACACACCAAAGTGGTAGACCAGAGAGTTGTAAGGATCCTGGGACTCTGATGACTCTATAAGGCTACTATTATCAGCATTGGATTGGCTAACAGTACATTTGTCTTATGCAATATAATATACTCTTGTATATTTAAGCTATCATATTTAGGTCTCGGTTATATCTAGCAGAATCAGATCTTAACTGATTTGTAATTTACTAAGTAATATCTAAATATTAAGGAATACTGAAATATTAAGGAATAACAATATAAGCATGTTATTTATAGAAGGAAATACCAGAGGAATCAGGAAAAAAGTTGAAAGTTGTTTTGGGAAGTGGAAATTGAGGTAAGGGCAATGATTACTGTTCTTTCTTTAGCTCTTTTAGTAATATTTGACATTCGAAATTGTATACATATATTACTTTTAATAAAAATTGATATTTGGGTAGTTACATTTTAATTAGTAATTCAAGTGAAAATACATGTTCATTGAAAAATTTGAATAATACAAAAGATACAGAGTAAAAGTTATGCCTCCCTTCAATGTTCTTTGCCTTTCCCCTGCCCATCAGTTCCACTCTCCTCCCCAGGAGTGATGGTGTTTGATATGTGTCTCTCCATACTTTTCCTGTACATTCATTTAGCATACATAAAGATGCATACTTTTTAACATTTATTTTTGTTAAAAGTGTATTTAAATTTTAATTTAATAAAATTCTCAGGAAGGAATATTTGTAATGGATGTTGTTTGTTTATATTTTTAGAATTCAAGATGTAAGCATGCAGTTAAAAAGTCAACAATATGAATTTCAGAGAGTACAGAAAGAATTGAATCATTTGCAACATGAATTAAAAATTAAGCAGAGACAATCACAAGTATTCAGGTAAGATTATCTTTAAAGAACTGAAAATGATAAGGATTGAAAAAGTGCATTAACTTTATAAACATTCAAACAGATTTTAGTAATAGAGTTTCTATATTCGGTGTGGTTGGAAAAAAAGGAAACAACCTCTCTTGGGGTTTTTTTGATCATTCTCTCAACTGAATAGTTTTAGCAATATATTTAAATCAGGCAAACACCTTGCTTTTATTGTGCAGTAACATTTAGAATGAAAGCACAGTAACTAATTCATTTTTCTCTTGACCAGTATTTCTTGGTGTATTCAATTCCCTGCCTGATAGTCCAGTGATACAAAAAGTAGAGAAGAATAGGATAACTTTTAAAAAAAAAATTATGTATTTATTTGAGAGAGAAAGAAAGAGTGTGCATGCGGGCATGAATAGGGGAGGGGCAGAGGGAGAGAATCTTCAAGCAGACTTCCTTCTGAGTGTGGAGCCCAGCTAGGGGCTCATTTCAGGACCCAGTGATCATGACCTGAACCGAAACCGAGTGTTGGTTGCTTAACCAACTGAGCCACCCAGGCACCCTAGAATAGGGTAACTTTCTAAATGATAGTAATAGACCTCCTTAATTTCAAAATCTCCAACATAAATGGTGTTAATTCTGCTTTTATATAATCTTTGGAGGGCTTATAATACCTAAAGTTAAAACCCAATGTTCTAAATAAATTAGGAAGTTCATTTTCTTTTATAAATTGGAATTGAATATATTGAGAATATCAGAAACAGTGATTCTTTTCAAAATTGAGTACTTTATCTTTAGAAAAGGGAAATAAGTTAAATGAACATTATAAATAGACACAGGTTCTGGGTTACTAAAAAAATATGTTGAATGAATATTTTGAAGGTTAGGTTCCTTTCTTTTCTTTTTCAATCTACTAGTTGTTGCCAGAGACATTGTTTCATTAGAAAAATTACCTGGGCTAATAATTTTTAATATACTATCTAGTGATCATCTGCTGGTCAACTACCTTTCATAAATGCCTTGCACATAATGATGCTCAATAAATAATTTTTGAATCGATGAGTCTATTCATAAAACAGATGATCGTTTTTGTCATCAGAAATCTTTTCTGCCTTGTCCTAGAAATCTGGTATTGAACCAGGAGGTGACTCCAGTTCTTCACTTTAGTCAGGCCGACCAGTTGGCTCTTCCAATAGCTCTGGCTCAGGTCTGCTAAGAAAGTCCCATTTATTTTATCCATTAATGCCATTGTGGGTGGTAGGATTGACCGAATTTTAAAGGTTAGACCAGAACTAGATTAAATAATTAATGCTGCTTTAAGATATTAAGACTGATAAAATGTTCACATTTTACATGTGATTTGTAGCATTTTAAATTCTTGAAAAAACTGAGGCATATTGTTACTTTTATTGTGTTCTAGTTTTATCATTTTGAGTTATACTTTTAACTGCTTATTTTTTTAAAAAAATTTCAATAGATATTGTGACTTTTGTTTATTTTTAGCTAAAAGATTATAAATTGGGAGTCTGGGGTCTGACATATAAAAACATAGCATTTACTAAAAAGCAATTTTGGAAGTAACCATCTAACTAAACACTTAGTACAAATAGAAGTTTATAATATACAAATAGAAATGATTACTGGTTTTATTCCTCACTAGTAGTTACGTTGCATAGGAACAAGCAGTCTGGTGAAAATAAAAGCAAAATTTATAGGGTCAGTGATTTTGTTGCATTACTAAAAGCTGATTTTATAGTAATTTATCTTAAAAATATCTACTAGAATACAGAAGAAAAGGAGCTTATCATCTCTCTAAATGTGGCAAAGAAAAGAAGCATGAACTTTAGGTGCTCAGATATAATCATTTTATTTGTGGAGCCCAAAAGGAACTTTCCCTTTTTTTTTTTTTTTAAGATTTTATTTATTTATTCATCAGAGAGAGAGAGAGAGCACAAGCAGGGGGAGTGGCAGGCAGAGGGAGAAGCAGGCTCCCTGCCGAGCAAGGAGCCTGATGCAGGACTCCATCCCAGGACCCTGGATTATGACTTGAGCCGAAGGCAGACACTTAACCCACTGAGCCCCCCAGGCATCCCAAAACGAACTTTTAATAGATCAATGAACTGTGTCTTTGAGTCGCATTGCTCTTTTAAAATTATTCTGTCATTTACTTAATTGCAATTGGGCTTAATCACCTAGCCTCCAGAAAAGTGTTCATCATGTTTGTTTTTCCTGACATCATTTCCAGCCTGTCTCTTGACAGGGAGGTGATCAGGAGTGTGTGTGGTCTGCCTCAATTGTCTCAGCACATTTGCTATTCAGAATAAAATGCCTTTGAGAATGGGAATTAAGTTTAGAAGGCCTGTAAAATGGACACTAAAAAATAGTATGGAATATAAGTATACTTCACTTTATGTAAATCTGTATATAAATCCAGTGCTCCAAATCAATCCATATTTGAAATATTTTAGGCAGTGTTTACTTTTAGAGGATTCCTATTGTGAATCTTTCATAAATTGTTTGAAATATAAAGTACTTACTTTTTTTTTTTTTTTTTTTTAAGAGATGGAAGGGGGAGAGAGGGAGAGGGAGAGAAGAATCTTAAGCAGGCTCCACACCCAGCATGGAGCCCAATGCAGGGCTCGATCTCACAACCCTGAGATCATGACCTGAGCCAAAATCAAGAGTTGGACGCTTTAGTGACTGAGCCACCCAAGTGCTCCCTTACTTTTTTAATTTGTCAATCTAGACTCTGTCATCTGGCTTTATTTTGTTTTGTATTCTCAATCTCATAGTTTATCATATCACATCTTATTTTATACAGTTTTGTTGATATACAATTACTTACTACAAAATTCATTCATGTTAAGAGCACAATGTAATTATTTTTACATTGTAAGACCTACTAAGTTGGGCAACCTTTACCACATCCAGTATTGGAACATTTGAGTCACTCTTAAGATTCTCATGCAATTTGCACTCAATCTCTGTTCTCACCACCTGTCCTAACAATCACTAATCTTCTTTGTTTCTATAGATTTGCATTTTTCTGGACATTTTGGATATATGGAATCAGACAATGCGGTCTGATTCTACTTTTTGTTTATTCATTTTTTTTTTTTAGATTCCACATGCAAGTGAAATCATATGGTATTTGTCTTTCTTAGTCTGATGTACTTCACTTAGCATAATACCCTCTAGGTCCATCCATGTTGTTGCAAATGGCATGATCTCATCCTTTTTATGGCTGCATAATATTCCATTGTTTAGAGATACCATATCTTTCTTATTCATTCATCTGTCAGTAGACATTTAGGTTGCTTCCATATCTTGGCTATTGTAAATAATGCTTCAGTAAACATAGGGGTACATAAACTTTTTGAATTAGCATGTATTAATGCTCATTTATAATTTTCTTTTTCTTTAGGTAAATATCCAATAGTGGAAATATTGGATCATAAGATGTTTCTATTTTTAGTTTTTTGAGAAACCTCCATACTGTTCTCTACAGTGGCTGTATCAGTTTGCATTCCCACCAATAGTGCATGAGGGTTCCTTTTTCTCCACATCCTTGCCAACACTTGTTATTTCATGTCTTTTTTTAATCTAGCACATCTTCTTTTTTCATTCATCAGTGGATGTGTGTGTGTGTGTATGTGTGTAATGGAATATTAGTCAGCCATCAAAAAGAATGAAATCTTGCCATTCACAATGATGTGGATGGAGCTAGAGTGTATTATCCTAAGCGAAATAAGTCAGTCACAGAAAGACATACCATGTGGGTTCAATCATATGTAGAATTTAAGAAACAAAACAGATGAACATAGGGGAAGGGAAAAAAAGAAGGGGGGAAGCAAACCATAAGAGACTCTTAACTCTAGAGAACAAACTGAGGGTTGATGGAGGGAGGTGGGTGGGGGATGGGCTAGATGGGTGATGGGTGTTAAGGGAGGGCACTAGCTGTGATGAGCACTGGGTGTTATATGTAAGTGATGAATCACTAAATTCTACATCTGAAACCAATTTTACCATATATGTTAACTAATTAGAATTTAAATAAAAACTTGAAGTCAGGAAACAAACAAAAAGCCAAGATATGCCAAAAGCTAGGCCTCTTGTGCCAAACAGTTATCCAAGTTTGTGGATGCAAAAAAAAAAAAAAAAAGCTCTTGAAGTAAATTAAAAGTGTTACTCCAGTGAACACATGAGTGATAAGGAAGCAAAACAGCCTTATTGCTGATATGGAGAAAGTTTTAGGGGTCTGGATAGAATATCAAACCAGCCCCAACAGTCCCTTAAGCCAAAGCCCAATCCAGAGCAAGGCCTCAACTCTTCAATTCTATCTATGAAGGCTGAGAAAGGTAAGGAAGTTGTTTAAGAAAAGTTTGAAGCTAGCAGAGATTGGTTCATGATGTTTAAGAAAAGAAGCCATCTCCATAACATAAAAGTGCAAGATGAAGGAGCAAGTGCTGATGTAGAAGCTATACAGCAAGTTTGCAGAAGATCTAGCTAAGAAAAGTAATGAAGGTGGCCACACTACACAACAGATTTTCAATATAGACAAAACAACCTTCTGTTGCGAAAAGATGTCACCTAGGACTTTCTTAACTAGAGAGAAGTCAATGCCTGTTTTTAAACTTCAAAAAAAGGCTGACTCTCTTGTTAGGGGCTAATGCAGCTGGTGATTTTAAGTTGAAGCCAATGCTCATTTATAAATTTGAAAATTCAAGAGCTCTTAAGAATTATGCTAAATCTACTTTGCCTGTACTCTAGAAATAGAACAACAAAGCCTGGATGATAGCAAATATGTATACAATATGGTTTACTAAATATTTTAAGCCTTTTGTTGATGCTTACTGTTCAGAAAAAAATATTCCTTTCAAAATATGACTGCTCATTGACAATGCACCTGGTCATCCAAGAGCTCTAATGGACATGTACAATTAGATTAATGTTTTCATGCCATCCATTCTGCAGCCCACGGATCAAGGAGTAATTCTGACTTTTAAGTCTTACTATTT